TCATTCATTCCATTATACATTGGCATTACGTGTATGATATCATAGAGGAAAGAAATATAGAATGTGAGAATGTGGTTAGATAAAGTAGTGGTCTGACCGGCCGGGCGTTTTTCCCTTATCAGATCTGTCATCATATAGAACGCAAACTAGCCAATTTAATACAATGAACATGTGGTACCGTTACATGGACAGTCAAATCAAAACATTTATTAGGCACAATAATTGTTAATAAATAATACACACTCAGCATAAATTCCCCATTACTGGTGCAGTAATATAAGACAAAAGACCAGAAATTATTTCTCTCTTTGTAGTTTGAAATCCTTTGTTGGTTATAAGTAAAAGCCAAACAGTTACAGTTCCTATTAATTTCAGTACTAAAAGCTTTGAATTCAGTTTTGGGTTGTAACTAGGGATTTAATGGTGCATTGCACAGCCTAATCATTTATTACTATTTAAGTTTCCTTTCTGGAATGAGATATAGTAGACCTTGAAATTTGGTTAATATTGCCTAGATTGGATCGTAAAATGGTTTCCTCTCAGGCATTTTAGAATTGAATATCTCAACTCTGAACATTACATATGAGGCCCACATATTCATTCAGAAGGGAATAGATAGCCATTGCGGGTTTTTTAAAGTTGCAGATCAAAATGATGAGGTTTGGCTTTTTCAATAAATGCTAGAGAATTTTATTTTGAAAAACAAGTAAGATCATCCACTTTGCTGACTATCACATGTATAGGTATATGCATGTACCTTGCTTCTGAATTTGGGCACTTGGTGAAATCCATTGAAATGTGACATGTGCATTTAACACTGGGCTGTACTCTATATCTTCTGTACATGTACATAGAGACACTTCGCTACCACATTGTTTATAATAAAGCATAACAACGGAGCAATGATGAAACATCAGGTAAAAACATGACAAGAACTGGGTCTCATTTCACAAAACTTGTCATCAGTGACAAATGACAATTTTGGTTACAAGCTATCAAAATCCTTGCATCTGATTGGTTATCAGCAGATTAGTCAAATTGTTGTCATTTGTCATTTCAAAAAAGACTTTGTGAAACGGGTGCCTGATCCTTGTTCACTCTATAATACAACAAAATACTGACAACAATGAATATATATATATGCATGAATATACCTTCATAGATTTTTAAGTTATACATGTATGATACATAAGCATTCATTACCAAGATAACTTACTTATAACTACTATCACATTTGATGCTCAAAGCACATCACATACCAGGATCATAATTGCAAGAATTCTTGAGAAACAACTCAATATAATGATGCTCTTCAATCTATACATAAACATTTATATGTGGGTGACGGAATAAAGGCTTCTTACACAGGTTTCTAAATACACCTGTCTCCATGCAACACAGGTTTGATGTCTATATATTCGCATTAAACAGTCAAACCTGTCTATAGCAACCGCCCAAGGGAAACACAAAAAAGTGGTCTTTGCAGACAGGTTCCTTTAGTACATGTTTCAGTGAGAAACCGTTTTTAAAAAATGTGGTCTTTGTAGACAGGTGGTCACTGAAGCAGGTTTGACTGTACCTTGATATCTTCATTGGAATGTACACAGGTAGTAAATACGTTCAATCATCATATCACCACTAGCAACACTAAGCTAGATCTTTTACTTGTAAATAAAGAACTTGATGGTGGTTTTGTAGTGCCTGGTCACAAATGATGAGGGTTTTCTAGATAGATATAGATAGAGAGTGACTTTTCTTAGATTAAGAATGTACATAGGATAGCGAATGTCATTCACTTATGTATTATATTAATACTATGAGTGCAGGCTTTAGGAATATAAATACAGAAATTGTTGAGAAATACTTGTCTCATTTGTTTGAATAAGTGCTATAAATCAACTAATAATAATAATAATAATGAATTCTTGTCTTGTATAGCGCTCATATCTGTCAGACTTGACACTCCTGGCGCTCCACATTTAATACCACGGCTTTAGTATGGCTGCCATTACAGCACTTGAGCATTTCAAAGAAATAATTCCTGCCAGGGACCCATATGCATCACCTGGGTCAAGTGAGGCAAATATAGATTAATATACCAATAAAATTAATGATGATTGTTGGATTTATAGTTGTATAAAGTGTTTTTTGCTGCGGATACAGAGTGCTGTATATACCCCAACAGCAGCCGTTTATAGCGCATTCTTCTTACCGGTACCCATTCACTTCAGCAGGGTGGCGAAAGGACACTGGTGTGCTGTGACAGGGGATTTGAACCCTGTACCATGTGATACAAAGTCCAAAGACTTTCCTCTAGACCAAACACTTCCAAATGTCTGATACAGAGTCTACAGAACTCTTCTAACGTGACAATTATTCCATAATTCTTAAATGCTATGCTGCTGTCCCCTCTTGAACATAAAGCTTAGTAAAACTCACTACAATGGACCCTTTTTATTCTGATAATACATAATAATACTATTGGTTGTGCCAAATTTTGACATCATCTTAATGAAGTCTCCGGCTCAAAAAATTAAAAGCCGCAATATTCTTCCACTCAGCAATAAATTATGATGGCAACGGATATTAAGCAAGGAAAACAAAAAATAATCACAAAGTAATACAGATATATGCACATAATACTTCATCATGTCAATTCATGAAAAGGGAAAAAAAGGTGATAAGCAGCCTAGTATGCTCATTTCCAATTTAATAAATATTTACAATGGTACATATTAATAAGCATCAAATAAAGAATAGATAAACATGAGCAATAAGGCCTGAGAATGTGGGTACTGTCTTCAATACGTCACTAGCAAAAGAACACAATAAAAAATAATAATAAATAAAACACAAAAGAGTACACATTTAGCTGATGACGTTTTCTATCAACATTAATTTTAGGACAGAAAAATTGCACTGAGATGTAGAAAACATAGTGAGAAATCATGAAAGGCGGGACTTTTGAAGTATGGTACCTGCATAGCATCATACAAACACTAAGTAGCAAGGGTCCCGGAACAAGGTTTCACATCAATCTGACAAGACAGCTTAACATGCCATAATAACAAAATAACTCCAGCAAATAGACCTTAGAAGATAGAGCATAAGTGCTAAATACTCATTGATAATCATTGAGAAACAAGTCAATTTCCATGTTCAGTTCTCTTTGTACCTTAAAAAAATGTGACACATTAATTTTGTGCAGCCTGTGCATTGAAAATTGAAAACTGCTTGAAAATTCCTACAAAAAGCACAATAAAATCTCATGGGTTTACAGCACAAAGCCTCTTTTCGTGTTTTTTCCCCCCTAATTTCATCATAATTGGCGCCTGCCTAACAGACTTTCCAACCATTTCCGTAACAGCTTACAAAGTTTGTTCCCTTGACAAATTAAAAACTCCTCCAATAAATACCCTCCCCCTCCCCTTGACATGTTTCACAGCTGCTATCTAAATGTGTTCTTTTCATTCTTTGAACTCCTTACCTTGCCTTTGATCTAATCTTACACTACCCTCCCTCAGCTCAAACACCCCTGGAAGGCGTTTCACAAAACTTGTCATCAGTGACAAATGACATTTTTTGTTATAAGCTACTGAAATCCTTGCTTCTGATTGGTTATCAACAGATTTTTCACTGAATTTTGTCATTTGTCATTGAAAAAAGGCTTTGTGAAACGGGTCCCTGGAAGCAGGTGCCAAATCACACACTCAAAACACAAAGAAAACACACACTACCTATGGTGCAGCATTGTGAGTCACATGACCTTCACCTTGTGTCACATGACTGGAGTCAGTCAGTCAGGTGACCTGCCAGTGACTCCAGCACACACACACAGCTGTCATCATGTCTGGCAGCCTAATTAATTCCTTCCTGTCTCCCATCACACTCTGCAGCCACAGTGTCTCTATAAGATTCACTCGGAGCCTCCATGCTAATCCCATACTCCTACAGGGGGGTGGTTCATAAAGCTGTTCATAAAGTCACGCATGACTTTACGAACGACTTGTATATGAAAAGCCAAATGGGATACTCAATTATTATGAAATACATCAACTAAAGTTGAACTGTGCAGATGTAGATTGACATTCTTATGATAACAAACATTTTTAATGCAAAGTATATTTTTTGCCATAATTTAATTGAGGTTATTGAAAATATCAGAAAAAACTTTGGGCAAACTATCTGGCACTTCATATACAAGTTGTTCGTAAGGTCATGCATAACTTTACGAACAGCTTTATGAAACACCCCCCCCCCCCCCCCCAGAAATCACAGCTTCAAGGGCTTGAACACACCAAACAAACTTTGTACAATTCTTGGTTGTCCCATTAAAAGGAGAGTCATCAAAATCAAATTAAATATGTAAAGTATATAATTTAGTCTATACCTCTCTGTACATCCATGTGATTCAGCTATCCCTACACATAGCTATCTGCTGTCTGCTACACAACAATGCAGCATTTCTAGAGCTAATAGGAAACAAACATCGCTTGTTGTTTCTTGATATCGCCCTTCTTTCTGTTTCCCCCTTCTATCCCAGGACACTTCTACAGAAGCAGCAGTGCAGCATATTGGTAACTTTTACCCCCCCCCCCCCCCCCTCTCTCCTACCCCACCCAAAATCATGTTGAAAACCCATATCATCATAATACTAATAACAAAAATAAAGACAAAGAAACAGATATGATGTCAATATAAATAGTGGGGAAATTTTCTCACCAAATCCTTCAAAGTCTGACAACAAAACGTAATGTTAATGACAAATGCCCCTCCCCCTGTCAAAGACTTTGCATAACAGTTCCAAAGTATTAAATACCTCACACGACAAACATGCAATAGCTTATCATTACATTGGTACTTTTGAATGCAGGAATGGAGTGAAGCATAAATATGCTAGAGCTAAGTGGTAATGATATATTTACATGTGAATTGTCTTTTCTATCTTTCTCTTCCTCTCTCTCACTTCAATCAATCAAATATCTCTACCGGTATTTGCAAACCATGATGAATGGTATGCACTAAGAGAAGATGTTGATAATCTCTTGTTTGGTTGTCCTTTAACTTGTAGGGCCAATGGTGATTACCCATGATGAACGGTAACACTAAGAGAAGATGTAGATAATCTCTTGTTTGGTTGTCCTTTATCTTGTAGGGCCAATGGTGATTACCCATGATGAACGGTAACACTAAGAGAAGATGTAGATGATCTCTTGTTTGGTTGTCCTTTATCTTGAGGGGCCAATGGTGATTACCCATGATGAACGGTAACACTAAGAGAAGATGTAGATAATCTTGTTTGGTTGTCCTCTATCTTGGATAGTAGTTTGTCTCTGTGATGCAACATGTATCACCACAACCAATTCAACATGTCCTCCAACCCAAATCATTTTATGAACATCTGTCATAAAGGCTTCATAAATATCTGCACCAAGCCAAGTCAGAAATAGAGATTACTCAGAACGCTAGGACATGCCACAAAATAGAAACCTTTGAGTCCCATACAAAACATATATTATACATAATCGCACTCCTTTATATTGAATGCGCACTGGTTGAAAACTCATATAATGGCACAGTGGTGTAGAACTGAAGACACCACATGGGTCACTCCATAGTGACAACCAGGAAGGAATGAAACTTTGATGAAGCTAGATTTGGCCGGGGGTGTGGTCAGGTAGCGATGAGCGGGCATTGTGAGGTGGTGATGAGCGGGCGTGGTCAGGTGGCGATTGAGAGAGCTTGCGTGGCGATGATGAGAAGGTTCAGGTGGGTGGGTGTATACTACGTTGCTATGGCAGGGACCACACTCTGTACCACAATGTTCACCTTCTCTTCGATGATGCCAGCCACTCTGTCTTTGTCAAACTGTGATGAGAGGACAAACAAAAACATTCTCACCTACATGACAAACCTCAAAATTAAAATTCCTTAGAATAGTGTTTGAAAAAATCTGTTGTATTTCCCCCCCCCCCCAAAAAAAATGTAACCATCCTTTTAAAGTACAAAAAGAAACTACCCTTATTTAATCTATGTTATTAGCTAATCAAAGTAGGATTGGGGCAATCGTTCCTCCACCAACCCAATCATGATGGTGTTAGATCCGCCATTCTACATTTTGTACACAAATACGAGTCTTTATTCTCCTTCAACTGTTTTTTGTATTCACCTGCGCTATCCCTGCTCCTGCAATACAAAACTGGCTATGTAGATACGAACACATGTGGTAAGCTGAACAGGAGGATACCACAATATTAAAGGGACTTGGTAACATTGTTCAGATGAGAGAAAATGGTGCTAAGGTAGTGACTTCAATGCTAGATGGACAATTAAAGATAATCTGAAAGTTTGAGTTAAAACAGACCATTATTAATGATAAAAATTGGGAGAAACTGATCTGATCCATTCCTGAATTCCCAACTATATTATTATAATATCTTTAAGAGCTGAAAGATTTTTTAAAGCCTGTTTTATGTCTTATTTTTATGGAAAAACGGTTGGGAAATTCAAAAATTGGTTGGGAGAATTTACTGTTAGGGGGTGTTGCACAGTGACGCCTCAAAACATAAATATCTTTGCTGTTTGAGATTTTTTTCAAGATTTGTTTGCTTTTCAGAGGGTTAGAACAGTAGAGGGGATATAATAAGTAACATATCATACAAAAATGATGCAGTTTTTTCATCAACCTTCAACAACGTTACCGAGTCACTTTAACCGAGATGTGGCCATCTTGCCCTAATGCTAGTTATAAAACACAGTGGTTGATGCAAACACTTACATCACTAATGAAGCCATATTGGACAAGTTCATTGGCAAGTACCCTTGGGCTCTCCTCTGTCAAAGAAAGAAAAATCAGTTACACTTAGAGAATTACATGCAATGGTTATAGACCAGGGCCCTGTTTCACAAAGATCTCAAGTCAAACTTATCTCTAAGTTGGACTAAAATATTATTGACAGCCATATGTAGCCTTAAAATAAAATAATTCAGAAGTGACAATTCAAGTATTTTAGACTTTTTATAAATTCCGAATCAAGAACATGAAACCTCATTGACATTAGAAATATGGAAGATTTGAATCAACATTTTATGCCTCTTAAAATAACTTTTACAAAATAATTTCATAGATGCTAAAGACTTTCAGTAATTTTTAAGTCTAACTTAAAGATAAGTTATAAGCTACTGAAATCAAGGCATCTGATTGGCTGAGAGCAAACTTATCATAGAAATTAAGCATTTGTTTTGGATAAAAAGTTTTATGAAATGGGCCCCAGTTTGTAGATACAATCTGCACACGCGCAGATAAAGGTCACTTGTACAAATTTGTAAAACCCACTGAGACTAATACTGGATACATGCACACAAAAGTTATGTAATCATTATTTATGCATGCACCTGTCATACATTCTAATAAACACAGGTGGAAGTGATCCTTTCAAGAGGGCAAAGAATCACTTCCATGCACTATGAACATGACAGACAAAATATACAGTTCCTCAGGTAGACAAAGGAACATCCCTTCACTGCTATTATGTAAAAATGTGTAGAACAGGTGTCACATGCATATTCACCTTTTTACATAATAGCAGTGAAGGGATGTTCCTTTGTCTATCTGAGGAACTGTATATTTTGTCCGCTTTCTTTGTCTGTCATGTTCATAGTGATGACTTTAGCTGTGATTATTTTAATAGGCTCAAGTGGGATTTACACTATGAACCTGACGAACAAAGAAAGCGGACAAAATATACAGTTCCTCAGGTAGATAAAGGAACATCCTTTCACTGCTATTATGTAAAAATGTGTAGAACAAGTGAATATGCATGTGACACCTGTTCTACACATTTTTACATAACAGCAGTGAAGGGATGTTCCTTTGTCTACCTGAGGAACTGTATATTTTGTCCGCTTTCTTTGTCAGTCATATTCATAGTGTTATTAGGCCCAGAGTTTAATTGTTCTCCACAAAACCCTTTAATCATATCTTCATGGTTAATCATGATAATTTATGCAAATTGTATGCATTTTGTTGATATAACATTGGCATTCCCATTTTAGCTCTTAAAAATGCATGTCGTTTATATCCTTCTCTACAGAAATCACGAAATCAAATTGTCTTCATGCAAAGTTAATCATGCAAATGTATGCAAATCGTTATGAATTTACCAGTCACATAGGGTCGAAATTAGTATTGAAATCCTGTCACTCAAAACTATTTATTGTTATGTACTGGTATTCATTCATCATACTTATACTATGATAATATCAATTGGATATTTTGCATAGTGCAAATGCAGTTTGATGTCTTGACAAAGGACATTTGTGCCGCAGTGGGACTCAAACCGTGAACCATGTGATCTGGACAGCCCCGAAAACATAATGCCTCCGGCCGGCACCACCTTTGGTGGACGGAGGCATAAAAACACACAGCAGTTTACCTTCCCATAGCTGAACGAGGCTTTAGGAACCTCATTCAGGGGGGTCTTTAAATCCGTAAATCTACTGATCTTGTATTTCTTCCATTGTTGGGAGTGTATTAGTATGCAGTGGGTTGATTATATTGTAACTTACCTGCAGTAATCTCACAGCTAAGATGTCTGTTCATTGTATCATCCAGCCTCAATAATAACTCCAACTGTCATTCAGAATGGACAAAAAACAAAAACATAAGACAATCAGTCAGTCTCTTGTAAACATTTTTCATCATTAAATCCTCTTTTTCTCAACAGATCGGCAGGAAAATTTACCTTGCAAGTACTACAAACACTTTGGCCCGAATTCACGAAGGAGGTTTGTTGACAAACCTTGGATTATGTGCGTCATATGATGCGTTTCTACGCGTTTTTTACAAACCTGGTTTGTAAAAACGCGTCATATGACGCACATAAACCTCCTTTGTGAATTCGGGCCTTTCTCTCTCAATTTTTTCCACAAGAAAACCAGGGATTCCCTGAATTTACAGATATTATCTGATTCCCTGACCCAACATTCACTCAGGCAACTTTTGTGTGGGGTTTCATTTTGTCAAGATATACTGTAAGGTTAGGGCTTGGTGCAAGTTGCACCAGGGTTCAGTGAAAAAAATGCAGGGGGGTTCAGGGTGAATTAGCCCATGAAATGCCAAAAAGAGCCCCAGAAAGTCAGAAAATAGCCCCCCAAAATGAGCATAGAGTTCACTGAATGCAAAACAAATTAAATAGTGTTATTTTCATTCAAGCGAGGTTGAAAAGTAGTCCCCGAAATTATTTAAATAATTTTTTCCCTGCCTGGATTTAATAAAGGTCAGGTTTAGGGTTAGGTAGGGTGATTGGTCCAGGGGGTGTTTCACAAAACTTGTCATCATACCGGAGTGTTGGCTCAGTCAGTAGAGCGTCCGCCACACAACCGGGAGGTCGTGGGTTCGAACCCCGGCCGCGTCATACCAAAAGACGTTAAAAGATGGGAGTTGTTGCTACCTTGTTTGGCGTTCAACAATAAGGGATAGAGCAACGTCGATCTGGCGCTGCTCAGTGGCTGCCGGGCTCACGATCAATTGGGCAAAAAGAATTTCCGTTTCGGTTTAATAAAATTTGGAGTGGACTATTAGGCTATTATTATTATTATTATTTTTATTATTATCAGTGACAAATGACAGGATTTGTTATAAGCTACTGAAATCTTTGCTTCTGATTGGTTATCAGCAGATTTGTCACTGATTTTTGTCATTGGTCATTGAAAAAAGGCTTTGTGAAAAGGATCCCTGGATTGAAGGTTGCAAACCAATGTTGAATAGGCATGGGTTATGCAATCTCTGACTCATTCCTCGACAGTCCTTTCTTGCTAGTAGTCATACATGGCCATCATACCAAGCATAGAGATACTTGAGATAGAGCAAAGTCCATTGGAAATCCTGAAAGAACTTTCAAATGAATTACCTCCACATTACGAAAGACACCCTTCACAATGTCCAGCAGTCTCAATTCAATAACTTTACCAACAGGTGTAAAAGTATATGCTATTTTCATAATATCTCTCTCTCTCTCTCTCTCTCTCTCTCTCTCTACGTGTCATATACTGTGACGTGGACGACTATGGAGTGCCACAACTCTCTGTCCTATATTCTATGAAGTAATTCATTTTCCCTGAGATCAATTCCACTCTTTAAGCTACTCATCCACAGAATGCTCCTTCTACCCCTACTTCTCCTCCCCTTGATTCTTCCAGTCAGTGCGAGATTTTCCAAACCATACCAAATCATAACATACCAGTAACCATGTATAAATCTGTGTTTGCTGACTGACATTTATATTACACGCACCTGCTACGCATTATAATTCACTAGTCATATTTCAGATTGCTTTAATTCATATCACACAAACAATTTGGCATGTCCAACCTACTAACGATCAATATTAAATTATGACTCATAACAGATGAACTTAATAGTTTGTTACTAGGTTATTTACAAGGAATTGTGCATTAAGTTTAATTGCATCATAAAAATGGCTGTATCTACAGTCAAACCTGCTTTAGTGACCACCTGTCTACAAAGACCACATTTGTTGTTTCCCTGGAAAGTGGTGTCTCATTGAAACATGCACTAAAGGAACCCGTCTACAAAGACCACTTTTTGTGTTTCCCTTGGGCGGTCGCTACAGACAGATTTGACTGTATAATGAAAGCTGTCCCAACTCACATGTAGATTAGTCTGTGTTTCCTCTCCCTCTTTGCCTTGTTTGATGTCGCACTGCATCATAGTAATCTTCCTATTCTCCATGTCAATGGGTTCTGGTGTAGCGCTCTTGACCGATTCCTGGGTCTCAGGACTCTGAGGTCGTATCTTGACCGGGTATGACCTCTTCATGGCAAAGGCCGTCAATGGATGGATACCATTCCTGTTTGATACACATGTTAGAGGGTTAGAGTGGGTATTTCAGTTCTTCCTCTGGATATATATCTCTCTTCTAATGTTTTCTTTAATCTTTTTTTTTTGTTTGCATTCACTTTTTGTTTACTTTGAGCAACAACAATTAAAGGTACTATGTCCCATTTGCAGGCCAAAAAAATGAACAGGTTAAATTCCAATGGCATTTGAAAGATAATACTAATTTAAAACTTCCCTTAAAACTGCAGATTGGCTGTTTGGTCAGTGGATCATAACATAGCCATGAATGGCTCTCAGTTTGTCGTGTACAAAAATATCATTAATTTCTGTTTTTCTCCTTTAGAAGTGTCTTTTCCCTTCTCCCTCTTCTCAAAATATATTGTGGATAGGATAGTATTAAAGAACAAACACCCTCCTTCGTCATACATTTTGGAAAAATGTAAATTTGTGTACATTCTTGTGTTGGAACAAACAGGAAAGTTGTCCACCATCACAACTATTACTGATTCAGCCAATTTGAAGAGCTCATACATTTAGTGATTACAACTTTTACCAGTCTCCTTGACTGATTTTTCGGTTTTCCTCTAGACTAGTTTGCTATCAAGGTTAGATTTTCATTTATCATGACTCAAATGAGTTTATTTTATTTCTCATGCGAAATATAACACAATGAATAAGTACATGTATATTACCAACAAAATATGCAATGAAACAACAAATATAATAGAAATAGCACGAGAAAAGAGGAACTAACTAGAAGCAGAGCTTGTTGAAGTGTTAGTTCCTCAGATTCTGTTTTACAATAAAACATGAACAAAGTATACTTAGAAAATCAATAAATAGATACAAAATATGTAACTAAGAAATTATGGATTTGGGGGGGGGAATAAAAGAGAGGAAATAGTAGAAGGCAAAAAGAAAGAATTATACAAAAACTAGATGGAACTTCGACTGCACGCAGTCGAAAATGATGCCTCCGTCATAGAGCAAGTTTACAAACCAAAAAGCAATTTCTCATATACATATATGACCCTTTGATCTTTGACCTCATGACCCTAAAATGTACTCAGTTCATTGGCTCTGCAAGATGTCCTGAGTTAAATAGTAATCCATCTGTCAGTTCTAATGAGAATGCGTTCACAAGCTATTTTTGCATACATAATGAGCCCATGACATTTGACCTTTGACCTCATGACCCAAGAATCTACTCAGTTCATTGGCTCTGCAAGATACATCCATGATCTAAGTTTGGCAGGAATCCATCAATCTGTTCTAATGATAATGCGATCACAAGCTATTTTTTGCATACATAATGAGCCGCATGACCTTTGACCTTGACCAAGACCCCAAAATCTAATCAGTTCATCGGCTCTGCAAGTAACATACATGACCTAAGTTTGGCAGGAATCCATAAATCGGTTCTTGAGATAACGCGATCACGAGCTGTTTTTGCATACATAATGAGCCCTGTGACCTTTGACCTTTGACCTCGTGACCCCAAAATCTAATCAGTTCATCGGCTCTGCAAGATACAAACATGACCAAAGTTTGGCAGGAATCCATCAATCGGTTCTTCAGATAACGCGATCACGAGCTGTTTTTGCATACATAATGATTCCTGTGACCTTTGACCTTTGACCTCGTGACCCCAAAATCTAATCAGTTCATCGGCTCTGCAAGATACATACATGACCAAAGTTTGGCAGGAATCCATCAATCGGTTCTTCAGATAACGCGATCACGAGAACGGGACGTACAGACGTACGTACGGACGGACGTACGTACGGACGGACGGACAACCCGAAAACATAATGCCTCCGGCTACTTCGTAACGGAGGCATAAAAATGTCTAGTTGGTATCCCTTGTACATTCTTTCCTTTTGCCTTGACATGAGGCCTCTACTAACCTGACTTCTTCTAAGAACTTCTCCAGCTCCAAGGCAGGCACCTGAGCTACCCTGTTCAGAAGAAACAATCACAATATGAATAGTGTACATACAAGACATGGGGGCTGTTTCACAAAGATCCTAAGTTTAACTTAACAATTATGGAAAGCCATTAGCATCTTTGAAAATTGTAAGTAAAAGTTATTTTAAAAGGCATAAAATTTTGATTCAAATCATTCAAATTTTCTGTTATCAAGGAGATTTCATTTTCTTGATGTGGAATTTATGAAAAAACTAAAATTCTTAAAATTTCTGCTTCTAAATATATATTTCATTTTAAGGCTACAAATGGACCTCCATAATTTTTAAGTCCAACTTAGAGTTAAGTTCTACTTGGGATCCTTGTGAAACACCCCCCTGGGAATATAATTTTGATTCATGCACAACTTGGGGGGAAAGCTAGTTTTCAGTCTGTGATAGTTTCTTTAATTGATTTATTAGATGCTATTGAGTATTGTTGTATAACTTTAATAGTTGGGCTGCATGGCGATGGCAGGAGTAGCATGAACCATTCTGTATAACACATGCAGGCTTGTGATGCTGCACTGGCGAACGTTGGCTACCAGGCCAGGCCAGCCAATTTTTTCCAGAACCATTTACATTTTGAAGACAAATCTGGAAAAATGGCATCTCTGCAAGATGTGTCAGCACAGAGAGAGAGAGAGATAATTGCAAAGCAGAGAAAGAATACCACAACTGACCTTTCTACATGTAGGACACCCTCTCTGTTTAGACAGTTATAGTTACCCGAGTGTTTCATGAGACACCTGTCAAACTACATGACTGGTAGGGAAGTTTTGATGAAGAATACATTTATTAAAGGTAAAGACCAGTTTTGGAAACGCCCCCCTCTCAAAAAATGAAATGGAAGCTTTTATTACCAATCATGTGAAAGAATATGTTTTGAATAATACGTAGTGATACAAATTTTGCTGAGAAACCGCATACTAATTGATATATTTGGTAAAATATTATATTTATTTGGACCTGATATATATAACGCACGTGTAGGGCATGTGTCGCGTAGTCCTATATACATCTTTCTGTGTACAATGCTTGTAACTTTACCAAAACTGGGCCAAATTTCTTATCATTTTGATGATTCCAGAACCTTGCAGTACACACCAATACTTACATGCTACATGATCAACTTTTTCTGATCCATTCCACAACTTTTCTTTCACAATGCAATCGCATTACCAGAACTCACCTTTATCTTTAACAAAGTGTTTTCTATTGGTCTTTATCTTTAATTATTGTTATAAAATGATGTCCTTCTTTACACAGAGTAACCTCTCATGTGGAAAAGCCTGGGTAAAATCATGAATCAAGTTTACCTCCATTGCACTTCTTCAGCTTGGCCTTGGAGTTTAATAGTAGCTATTACATCATCCTTCTGCACTTTGTTCTGTTCTTTGTCTGATAAGTGTTCTTGTAGAAAACCTGCAAAATTCAATGTGCATTAAAGATAAAGGTGAGTTCTGGTAGAAACAAGAAAATCAATTCTCACAGAATCAAACGAAACTTACACTGAAAGTTCAAGATTACAAATAAATGTCATTTGCCAAAAAAATTGGTAGAAAATGTATACTGGCCGAGTAATGAGCATAGAAATATTAGGAAATCAAGGTTGGTGTCCCCGACACCGTTTGTGTAGTCCCATATATATCTTTCTGTGTACAGTGCTTGTTACTTTACCAAGACTTGGCCAAATTTATTAAGATTTTGATCAATGATGACTCCAGAACTTAGCAGTACACACCAATACTTACATGCTACATGATCAACTTTTCTGATCCATTCCACACCTTTTCTTTCACAATGCAATCGCATGACCATGACCTTTATCTTTAATATGAATACAGGTCCTATCAATCACGTTCAAATGATATGAACAAACTTGTTGAAAGCCACATGCAATGAAAAGCACCAACATATACAGTTTTTTGCTAGTAAATAAGCTTTAATGCTTTAATAGGATTTAAAGACCCCCCCTGAATGAAGTTTCTAAAGCCTTGTTCAGATATGGGATGGTAAACTGCTGTGTGTTTGTAGCTAAAATGGGAATGCCAATGTTATATCACCTAAATGCATAACATTTGCATAAATTATCATGATTAACCATGAAGATATGATTAAGCTGTTTCAGTGACATACCGTACCACACTAATACTGCTTTCTTACTGCTTTCTTGCTGCACTACAGTACATGTATGTTAAGATTTGTTTGTCACTTACTTTCATTTTTGGCAAAGCTATGAGCTGCTAGAAGTTTGAGTGAGTGAACTTCAAAGAGAACTGGGTGAAGGAGGAGATCTCTGGCTGTTGGTCTACTCTGCACATCGTCAAGGCAACGCTTGAGAAAATTCTGAAACAAAATGCAACCAACAAAAATTGTTATTAGAGGTAAAGGAATTGCTGGGTTTAAAGATTTGACTGAAAATGCAAAGGTTATAGGTTGAAGCCTCATGACAGCAGTAATGCCCTTTGTCGAGACATTAATCCACATTTGCCGCTCTTCACAATGGGCGCTACAATATGAGCAACTGGTAGGAAGTAATTCCTTGAATGCTCCGAGTACAAACATTAATAGGCTAGATAAAGTCATGCTATCTAAGAATTGTCATTTTTTTCTAAATAATTATTACTGGCAAAGGCCCAAGTGAGGTTAGGACAAGAAAATTATCAATCTCATAAATCATACACCTACAGGTGAAGGTCCTCAAGTATTTCTGTGTACCAAATACCATCAGGGGCGTACGCAGGGGGGGTTTTGGGGGTTCAACCCCCCCCCCCCCCTTTGGTATTTTTATGTATGTAAATCCCCCTAAAAAATCCTAAAACCCCCCCCCCCCCCCTTTGTTTTTTTTGTTTTTTTATTATTATTTAAAAAAAAAAATAAAAAAAAAAAAAAATTATACCCACGGCTAACCTAAATAAGGTGACCTTACCCCCCCCCCCCCCCAACGACAAAAAATGTCAAATTTTGAAATTTCGAGACCAAAAAAAAAAAAAAAAGGGTCCGCTTACCCCCCCCCCCCCCCCCCCCCCCCCTGAGCGATTTTTCGGCTGGCTGAGTCGTTGCGGCTAACCTAAATAAGGTGACCTTACCCCCCCCCCCCCCCAACGACAAAAAATGTCAAATTTTGAAATTTCGAGACCAAAAAAAAAAAAAAAGGGTCCGCTTACCCCCCCCCCCCAAAAAAAAGGGTCCGCTTACCCCCCCCCCCCCCCCCCCCCCCCCCCCCTGAGCGATTTTTCGGCTGGCTGAGTCGTTGCGATTTTTTTTGACCTACAAAAAAAAAAAAAAAAGTGTCCGCTTTGGTGGTTTTATATGGACACAAGAAAATGGTTACATCAAGAATGGGGGTCATTCAACAGGACAGTTTGAAATCCAACATGGGATGTGCCAAAGTAAGACCATTTCCATATATTAAGAGTCTTGGTAATAGATTCATTGGTATGGTTAAGATATATGATGTATACAAGATGCTGATAAAAATGAAAATGAGAATGACATTTCTTGCAATTTTTAGGGAAAGGAAACAAATTGATGGATGTCAGCTCAAAAAAAGGAAAAGATATTTTTGTAAAAGAACTACAGAAAGAATATAAGTTGAAGATTAATTACCTAAGTAGTTAACTTGATTCAAATAAAAAAATTAATCTGAGACAACCTATTCAGACTTTTTTTTTAAAACTTGAATTGCGAAACTGTAAGAGTTCTAATTAAAATTGCTGCATTGTGTGCTTTATACATAAGAAAAACTTGTTAAGTTTGCATTGGCTGCAGATAATTCATGTTCATATTTCCAACAAAAAACAAATATATTCCGCTATATTTGTTTTAATTGTATTACTGTACATTTACAGTGAAGATTTTTGTGGCAGGAAGTAATTCTAGCATTTGATTTGTGGAGTGGTGTGTGCAGCGCTTTGTAACCGCAAGGAAAAGGCGCTATATTAAATATCTTTTGGATTGGATTGGAAAGGAAGTTAAAACATGGCACTGTCAGGACTTGTTGTTTGGCGTTGCGAGAACTTCCAGTAGGATATGAAAGAAGTATGAATTCTATATTATTGATAATAAATCATTTAGAGCTAGACAGGAAGGGAATATCCAGACATGAAATAAGATCAAGGAAGTCCTATTACAAAAATACAACAGGAAACAAAGAGAGTTATAACTAAAAACACATTGATTGGCCATTCATTTACAAAAATGAGTCATATTGAATAAGAGAAAAAATACAAGTTATTCGTCAAAAAAAGAATAAAAACATGTTGAATAATAACAGCTGGTGCAGCTTCTCTCTTCTCTTCTCTCTCCCTTCAGTGTTACTGGGAGTGTGTGAGCAGGCGCGGATCCAGGATTTCTTAGGGGAGGGGGCCCAACTGTTTTTTTTTTTTTGCGCCCGAAAATTTGAAAATCGCGCCGGACAAAAAGTCGCTCAGTGGGGGGGGGGGGGGGGGGGGGGTACAGAGCACAATTTTTTTTTTTTTTCCCGAAAATTTGAAAAACGCGCCGGCCAAAAATTCGCTCAGTGGGGGGGGGGGGGGTGGGGGGGGGTGGGGGGTAGTGAGCACATTTTTTTTTTTTTTGATCCTCAAAAAAATTTCAATTTGCATATATGACAACAATTCTCTCTGTCTCTCTCTCTCTCTCTCTCTCTCTCACTCACTCTTTTTGTCTCTGTCTCTCTTGCTCTCAATTTGCAGCTGACCAAAAATACTATTAATATTCTAAGGGGTTTGATATCTCCATTTTACATTTCCCAATTCTTACCTTTTGAGCAATGTCATCGACCTGATTGACAGCAGTCAAGATGGCTTGCCTTGATATATGTCTGGAGTCTCCATTCCCTTGTATCTCTAAGACGGCCATTTCCAGGGCACATATTCCAAATGCATAGATGTCAGCAGCCACCGACACATTGCCATCTACAGTAGGCAGGTAGGTAAAGGATACATGACATCATTTGTTAACTTCTCCGAGCGGTCTTTATCCCTTTTTGCGGAAGTCTGCTCGTGGTCACCTGGTCAGGTTTTTTTTAATGTGTGTTATCGGGTTGTTCATGCTGGAATTGCAGGAGCCCGTTTCCCCGAGCCCCCCGCGGCTGAGTTAGGACTTTAGCTTTACATTGTTTTATACTATCGTATAAATTATTGCTACTGTGTTTTATTTGTTTGTTTTGTTTTTTTTGTTTTTTCTTTTTGTTTTAACTGTAATTTCTCGTATGATTGTTTGTAAAATGTGATTATTAATGATCAATAAAACATATAAATAAAAAAAACTTCTCCTTTAAAGATACTATGTCCCTTTAGCAGCCAAAATCTAATTCTGTCAACATCAAATTCATAGCGCTTAGAGACCTCTGTGGTAAGCGCTTTATAAGTAACGTTTTTAGTATTATTACTATCATTTATTATTCAGTAGAATTTGGCAGGAATTATGAATATGTCGTGTATGTCCTATCTGTGAAATTTAAACACTAGTAGTGTCCTAGTCTTCAAATTTTGCAAGGAAACCGGTTTAGCTTCTAGACTTCACTGTCAGACACTATTGAGTGACTGACTGACACCTTTTTTTTCTTTTGTAATAACATACATGTACATAAAATGAGCTGTAATAGGTACATGAGCAATTGTCTACATCAATAACCTACATACCGGTAATAATAATAATAATAATAAAACATTTGTATACCGCAGATTGCAAATTGCCTCTAAGCGGTTTAGAAGAAAATAGCTGATAAGTAAAGAAAACAAAATTTGCAATACAAATTACATAATACAAATAACATTAAAACTTTGCAAATGAAAATAATACATGTACATAATTACAAATCACTTACAACCAAAATACAAATAGTTCATAAATTAATAGTATCTTACGTTAATCTACAAAAACAAACAAAACAAAAAAGGCAAAAGGTCAAAAGAGCTATTCAGGAATAAGACTTAAAGAGATGTGTTTTTAGCATTGTTTTAAATGTATTTAAAGAGCTAGCATTGAAAATTTGAAGGGGGAGATTATTCCAAAGAAATGCAGCTGCATAAAGCTGTTATCACACCATCTGTTTGAATCCTGTATCAGTAATTATCTCATGTCCTGAATCAGTGACCTATACTATCTAAATCCCACTAGTGTAATTATGATCATACGAGATGGATGGAGAAAGCAGGAAAGAGAAGCCATTAAAACCCCCTCCTACTTTAATATAAGGTTTCCCTGCCCACCACGGTATACCTGACTGTAATCACACCAAACGGATGTCCGTGTAATACGGCTATATAGCAGAGGTTTCACAACAATGAAATCCATCAATCTTGATCAAAATGAATTATGTCTCAATATCCTAAATATGTCCTTCATTGAGTTTGGCCTCTAAACTACCTGTTTTTTTTAATGGAGAAAAGTATCTCAACCTCCTAAAATTCCAACAAAATTTTATTCAACGTGGGGCTGATTTTCTGAGATTTTTAGTATGTTGTTCCTGATGTCAAACACTACCAGAAAGCGTTGAAAAACCTTTACTTGCAAGATTTTTGAAGGTCGATACCTATATTGACACAACTATTCAAGTTCAAGTTTCCAAGTTTTATTTGTTCCAAATTTTACAGAAAATATAAACATACATATAGAATAAAAAATCATACAATACATGTAGTATAAATGAGCACGTCTCAATGATTCTCAATTCATAAAATGGATCAAGTAGAATGTGAGGAACCTATTAAAAAGCAATGCTTGTATAATATAGGATCCTGAAAAAAATAAGTAATGTACATGTAGATGAACAGTAGCAGCAGAGAAAGATGTAATTTAGAGGAGAGAATTTAAAACACAATGAAATAAGGACATTTATATACAAAATAGAGCATCAGCACCATTACCCAGAGTCACTTCAGCTTAAAGTTATATCAGGGAGGTGGGATCCCTCCTACCTCCCTGGTTATATATTAAGACTTTTCTTTTTACTTTGGGAGGAGTTAACACCTAAACAATACTGCATATTACTTGTACACTGTCTTACCTCCATATTCTGGTGCAATGTAGTGCATGTTTCTCTGCTCCTCTGTGTATGTTTTTACATGATTGTTTATTGCATCGGGGGCCACTGAAAAGAGAGACAACAAATACACATGCAAACAAAATATTGCGAGCAGAATTCTATTGATATAAATATACAAACAAACTCCAACTTTTGATTGGTAATGTTATCTATTTTCATCAATATTCATATGCTGGTTTAAATGCTCCTGCTAAGGAATACCATAGTATATAATAATAATAATAATAATAATAATAATAGCCTACATGTAATAGTCCACTCCAAATTTTATTAAACCGGAACAGAAATTCTTTTTGCCCAATTGATTGTGAGCCCGGCAGCCACTGAGCAGCCCCAGATCGACGTTGCTCTATCCCTTATTGTTGAACGCCAAACAAGGTAGCAACAACTCCCATCTTTTAACGTCTTTTGGTATGACGCGGCCGGGGTTCGAACCCACGACCTCCCGGTTGTGAGGCGGACGCTCTACTGACTGAGCCAACACTCCGGTTATATATACATGTACTGTATGTACAAACACTGACACAAAACCCACATGCCAGGTTAGACTCACATCTATACATGTATGTGAATGGATCACATTTATATGTACAATACATGTACATGTGTTATGTTTTCAAGCAAGATGCGAAAGTTTATGTGGTTGGATTAGCAAGTGGCACTGCGACTGGCTGAAATGCTCCCCAGGGAGTGGAAAATGTGCATACGTGGTGTTGCGGTTAAGCCTGAATCCGATGACCCCGCCTAGAAACAAAGTATTAGGCGCAATATAAATGTGAGCTATCATTATTATTAAGTATTGTTGCTGATTCGTGTGCTCTTCTGTCAATTATCAATATCTGTCTGGTAAAGTCTCATTAGGTACATTATTTTTAAAAAAGTAAACATTTCCTTGCTTAGAGACCAGCATGTCCATGCCTGCAATTATTAAGCACTTCAATAATCTACAGTATAGCCTTGGGCTTTAATAATGTAGCGATGCATTAGTCTGTCATCAAGACTCCTTCGAACAGACTGTGACGTACATGCACATGCATATTACATGTAATACATATTACACAAACACTTGTCAGTTGTTCGAAACAGTGTCTGCGTTGTGAGACTAGGCTAACTGCATTATATACTGCGCACTATAGATTCTGTCCTTAAAGTACAAGTCCACTCCACTGAAACGTTGAGCTGATTAGATAGACAATAATTCATAATGGTTGTCCTACATGGCAACGACTAGTGCTGCAGTTTGTATTCTTTTGTCTATTGAAATACTATTATTCATATCAGTTGAATGAAATAGTTTGTATCGAGGCACTTCACAAAGACATATGCATTAAATTGGTTACATTACGAAAATACCCTGATTGTCAGAATGTATACTGCTGGCACTTACAGGTACGTTGTGAGGAGCATACGTCACATCCGTGCAGCAATTTGAATGTTTTGCTTGAGATAACCGAAACAAAAATCGCTCTTAAAAATATCCTGATTGAAGTATGCCCGTGATATTTGGCAGTTTTAACCTTTGATTTATTTACAACATGCTATAATTTTTTTGAAAATTGGAGTGGACTTGGGCTTTAAAGCTGCTCCTGCTACTACTTGAGACTAACAGAGCTAGGCTCTGCTCAGGGCTTTAAGGCATTGTAGTGAAGTGTAAAATAAGAGTCTGTGCTTAGAGAATACATGTCTCTCTGTAACAGTCTGAATCTCAGTCCACTCCCCCCCCCCCCCCCCCCCCCAGGTACCCAAATACTTGACTTGGAGATAAAATAGCTCAAGTTCCCAATGGGAGAATCACATTAGCTGATTTCACCTAAAAGTGGATCTAATGAAGAGAAAACCTAATATTAATGCCTCTAAAACCTTGGTGGTTCATTCATAAAGACATCATTCATTCATTTATCCAATAAAATATAGCAGACAGCCTTTAAAGGGATCCGGTAACTTAGTCTCAGATTCTGAAACAAAATCCTGGATTTAGCTCATGCTGCAATGATAATTATAAAACTTTAGGTCAGTCATGAACCCATGGCTTTTACAAGCCGATCGTCTGTCTGATTATCAAGATATTTATGACTGGAAATACAAATTTTGAAAATCGTTCGCCAAACGGTTTTCATAACACAACAGTCTTTAGGGGAAAACGAGTATGGTAAAACCGGTCACTCCAAGATTTTTACTTTTTGAAAACCTTCTTGATCATTTTGAAGCGCGATTTTTTTTTTAGGGCTTCAATATTGCACCATATCACAGACACTGATAACACGTAGGGCCGTGCATCTCAGATTTAACATTGTTAAACTATCCCTTTAAAGCAGCTAGGGATGATGGGTTGACTAGTTTCTCACCTGATCCAATCTTGATGAGGCCGTTGTGTTGGATGAAGACTGTATCGGTTGTGAGGTTGCCATGGATGATAGGCGGGTCACAGGAATGCAAGTAACTGTCAGAGATAAACGTTTTTAAAAAAATCAAGGTTAAAGATAAAGTTGAGTTCTGGTCATGCGATTGCACTGTGAACGAAACGGTGTGGAATATCAGAAAGAGTTGATCATTTAGCATTGGTGTGTACTGCAAGGTTCTGGAGTCATCAAAATGAAAAGAAATTTGGCCCAGTCTTG